CCTTAAATAGTTTTGTGAAACGCCACTATTTAAGTTAAGATACAATTTTACCTTCCGATATTATTTTAGTGGATTTTATCTAAAATGCTTAAAAACGTTCTGTGAAACGCATCTATCTTAAGTTAGGATGGAATTTTAGTTTAAGACGATTTTAAGGAGATTTAAGTTTTTGTGAAACAGGGCCCTGGTCTTTTAATTTAGGTTTTGCATATCATGTTCACGACTTTGAAATAAAAATGTGGGCGTATAAAAAGAAATGCAATAATAATGACACATGCATTATTCATATAATCTGTTTTGTAAAGCATTAGCCATATGTCCATTCATGTATTCTTTAAAAAAAAAAATAGACGTTAAAACCTTATCTTGTAGATAATACCTAGAAAAAAGAAAGGTTAATAAATTGAATGTATTCGCCGGAGTACATGTCAATCATTAACTTTGCCCAGCGCTAGTTTCATCAAAGCAACCTGTCAATGGCAGTCATTCACACAGGCTATGTAAATTCATGTAAATAAGGAATTGTAGCGAACACAAGTTAAATCGAAACTATGAATAAGTTGTTAAATGCAACCATGTCTTGTCATTCTACATGTAAATCACTAGGTTATCAGAAACACATCTAACTTATTCCTCCTACAAACTATCTGAGAATAACTCAAAGTCAACGACAACAACCAACAAAGCGTTAAATTTGTGAATATTGAACGTCGATACGCCACTTAAAATAAATCCCGTTTAGATTAGATTTGGTCGTGTTTCTTATTAGCCCCGTCTTTAAGATAAAACCTGACTAATTTCTCAACATGACACCCTAGAAACTGAACAAATCTACCGTCTAACAAACTGATCCGATAGAATAGTCAACAGTCAGACACAATCATTAATAAAACAAAAACATTTAAACGGAAATTAAAGCGGTCGAGGGGTGTTATTAGGCGTATCTGGCGAAAAGGATTTTAATCAAAACATTACAGACGAATAAAGATAGTGGTGTGAAATCAGTTGCAACTATATAGTATAATCTTCAAATTTTTATATTATCTTACGCTTGGATTAATCATTTGAAAATGTTTGGGTACTATCCTACCTGGTTTTCCCTTTGTCAGTGGTGGCAACAAAAAGCGCCTAATTCAGTTCGGATGAAAAATCGAGGACCAGTGTACACTTGACGTACATGACGGAAATTAAAGCGGTCGAGGGGTGTTATTAGGCGTATCTGGTGAAAAGGATTTTAATCAAAACATTTACAGACAAATAAAGATAGTGGTGTGAAATCAGTTGCAACGATATAGTATAATCTTCAAATTTTTATATTATCTTATGCTTGGATTGATCATTTGAAAATGTTTGGGTACTATCCTACCTGGTTTTCCCTTTGTCAGTGGTGGCAACAAAAAGCGTCTAATTCAGTTAGGGTGAAAAATCGAGGACCAGTGTACACTTGACGTACATGTTAAATAACTTTTGAAAATTGGAATTTGAAGAAGAGTATAGGATCAAACGCCGCTGTCAGGTCAAAACTTTCCTCATAGCCGTATGCAAGGCGTATGCTCGTCTTCGTTAGCCGAGTTAGTGCATCAAAGTAAGACGTTAAAACCCCCATTTCATTCATTTATTACATTTCTATAAAATAGTATACAGAGACGCAATGAAACCGCACCACTTTTATAAATCGGCGGCTGTAAATCTCGTTTGAGAGCTACACTTGAATCTTTGAATTCTGAATTTAACATCAAATCATGACGATAACACATTATCAATTCTTTCAAACACAACAAATTGAATACGAAAGAATGGAAATGCTGAAAACACAATTTTATGGTGCAGACATGGGGTATCAACTGTGGCTTTTAAAAAGCTAGAGTCAGTTCAACTCCTACTGTGTGAAGTTAAATCAATAACGAATAGCGAGACATAACGTGTTTCGTTATTCGGGATTGACAAAAAAGGATATTTTTTCGTAGAAATTTCATATTAACATCGTCCATTTGTCAAGTAAGCTGTGTTTTTCTTTATTTAATTCACGTCTGAGAAGAATGCTTCAGCAGTATATGAAATGAAATGGGGGTTTCACGTCCTACTATTCTGAACCGACTTAGCTAATGAAGACGGGCATTTGGTATGCAATGTGCTATGGACAGACAGCGGTACTACGGCCTACTCTTATTTTGAATTCCCACTGTCACAGTATCTTTCACGTACACGGGACCCCTGTTTTCCGCCCCATCCCAAGGACTACACGTTGGCAGAGCTCCCCCCCCCCCGCGTCCTGCACCACTGCTAAGGGGAACCACGCAGACAAGGGACCTCCTGGTTAGCGAGCCAGCGTTTTACGCACTGAGCCGTCGTGGCTCCTAATTGACTTATAAGAAGGATGCCTAGGCAGTAAACAATCATCTTCTCACGTCTATGCCATAAAACAGTTCATTGTTCTTTTCGAGTTTGGGGGGTTGGGTAGCTGAATGGTTGGCGTGCGCGCGCTGTATCATAAAGTCTGTCATTGAGTCGACTGGCGTTGTATGTGACAAGGAGTAGGGTCGCCTGTCCAACTTCGTGGGTTTTCTCCGGCTCCTCCGGTTTCCTCCCACTGCTAAAGACCCCTACGCGCTAGCGAATTATTTAAACCATATGTTAGTCCCGAAATGACCTAGTTTGTGTCGAGTGGACGTTAAACCCAATTTCTCTTTCTCTCTCTTTTCTAGTTTGAATAACGAATAAAGAGAGAGGACGAGCTTCGTTATTCGGGATTCAAATTTTGAATAACGAATAACGAGAAAGAACGTATTTCTTTATTCAAATAAAATAATTATTTTTTCTTATTTGGAATTCAAACTGTCACCGGTAATTTACCTACACGGGACCTCGGTTTTTCGTCCCATCCGAAGGACTATACGTTGTCCCTTGCCAGGACCTCCGTCCTCCACCACTGACAAGAGGGAACCACACCGAAAAATCCCAATGAACTTTCTCGGCCAACGCCTCACTCACTGAGCCACTGTGGCGCCTAATCGATTTACAAGAAGGGTGCCTCTATGCTATAGAACAATCCATTTTGCTTTTCGAGCTTGAACAACGAATAACGAGACAGGGCGTGTTTCGTTATCCGGGATTCAAATTTGAATAACTAGACAGAACATGTTTCGTTATTCGGGATTGAAATAAAATTATTATTTTTTCATAGAAATTTCATATTATTATTGTCCATTTGTCAAGTTAACTTTTTTTTATATTTGATTGACTTATACGAAGTATGCCCTAGCAGTAAAAAGAAGTCATAAAAAGTCTATTTTGCTTTTAGAGCTTAAATATCGGATAACGAGACAGGGCGTGTTTCGTTATTCGAGATTCAAATCAAATTATTATTTTTCTTAAAAATTTCATATCATTTTTGTCCATTTGGTAAGTAAGAAGGGTATTTCAGCAGTACAAAAAACATCTTCTATGTCACATAACAATTCATTTTGTTTTTCGATCTCGAATGAAGAATAACGAGACAGGATGTGTTTAGTTATTCGGGATTCAAATTTTAAATAACGAATAACGTGATAGAACGTGTTTCGTTATACAGGATTCAAATAAAATTGTTATTTTTTCTTTGGAAATTTCATATCATTATCGTCCATTTGTCAAGTAAACTGGTTTTTTTTATTTAATTGAATTATAAGAAGGGCGCCTCAGCAGTACAAAAAACCCTCTTTTCACATCTATGTCACAAAACAATTCTTTTTGTTTTTCGAACTTGAATAACGAGACAGGACGTGTTTTGTTAATCGGGATTCAAATTTTGATTAACAAATAACGATACAGAACCGTCAGAACGTGTTTCGTTATTCAGGATTCAAATAAAATTATTATTTTTTCTTCGAAATTGACTTATAAGAAGGATGACTCAGCAGTACATTGTCATAAATCAATGCATTTTTGTCCATTTGGCAAGTAAGAAGGGTATCTCAGCAGTACAAAAAACATCTTCTATGTCACATAACAATTCATTTTGTTTTTCGAGCTTGAATGAAGAATAACGAGACAGGACGTGACTTATAATTGACTTATAAGAAGGATGACTCAGCAGTAAATTGTCATAAATCAATGCATTTTGCTTTTCGAGCTTGAATAACGAATAACGAGACAGGACGTAGATGTTCTGTACTTCTCGCGTATTTTGATTGGCTGCTGTACACGACATATATTTAACCCCGCCTTCATGATGTAAAACCTATTCCGTTTTAAAATGTCGGACAAAGCCAGCTATTATCGCTTCGATTTAAAAGAGATGGTTTGTACCTATGTCAGGTAGGATTATATCCTTAATTGTGGTTTGATGTGGCAGGCACTGATCCGCATCGTACTTTACCAGATGGAACTATATTGTACCATCTCTTATCTCGAGACACACAGGGTCCAGAGATGGGGTTTCTTAATTATAGTAGACTATACTGGCACGATCAAGTCTGTACCGCTAAACAACCTCATCCGTACACATTTCATCATGATAATACAGCACGTGTCTTCATGAACTTCTTGAATCAAAAGAACGTGGCAGTGCTCATGTCGACCCTTTCTCCAGACCTCTCGTGGATGGAGCATCTGCTACACTTGTCCCGCCTTCTGTACAGACCTGTCCCACATCCTAAATACACCTGTGATACCAGTGGAAGGGGCCCCCAAGTCCACGAAAAGGGCAGTGAAAATGACGAGTCCAGAGGAAGTGCGTCCGTGTTTGTGTAAGTGACTCGATAATCTGAGAAAAGGACATTTTACTTCAGTGTTAAGCCCGTTTTCCATGTACGCGTTTTCGCCGGTTACGTGGAAACGGTCCCATTAAATTTGCATGAGACCGACTTTTTCGCCAGCGAAAACGCGCGCGGAAACGCCGCAAAAACGCGCACATGGTAAACGGACGTAAGGACCCATGTTTCCAGTACTATGACACATGAATCGTGAACGGGCTCTAATTTCAACTACGGCGACATAATTTTCAAAATTTCAGTACTTACCCATTAGATAATGGATGGTTATACAAGGCTGAAACAAACATCATTTACGATTATTGGTGTTATTAAATGGTTTGTAATGTAATTTATTTTACTTTGTACTCGTCGCTGTTATTTGACGAAGATAAATGAGTTTAAATCCTATATAAACGGTTACATGAAAAAAAAATGTTTAGAAAATATAAATACATCATCATATCTGTAGCAGTATCCTAATATTCACTGTGTAAAATATTCACCTGTGCTCTTTCTGGCATGCTTTCATCTCGTTCTGCTTCTCGTGGATGTAACGTCTCCGTTCCTTCTGCATTTCGCTCATCCATTTCTTCCAAAAAACTCGAGAGTTGACCTACTTCGCGTTTCCGGTTAAAACCATGATGAAGTGGAAGTGAAAATGTTGTTACTATGGGAACTAAAAGTACCAAGCTCACAAACCAGATATAGCTAACTAACATATTCAACGGTAACCTGTAAATATATAAAAGATATTTTAAAAGTTTAGCCTGCAATACCACACCGACGTAAACCCAGATGCAGGCTGGGACATACCATTCGATTATGTTCGCTAATGAAGGAGGAGTAGCACTTAAAAGTAAACCGACAAAAGAACGAGTAGCTGATCAAGATTTAGTCACCGGCCGTGGCCCCTGTGTAAAAAGTTTACTTTAAGCCTGGCCAAGGCAGTTAATGATGACAGAATGAATGTCAATATGGATTATTGGCCTTGAGTATGCTAACAGCTTAAACGTTTCCGATATTTTTTTCATTTGCCTAACTTATTTAACGAAATAAATAAAACAAAGACAGGTGAACTGATTCTGAATATTATGGAAATATTAATCCGGCTGTGAAATTTTATCTGGATGCCATTAGAGGAAATGGATTGGATGTTGTTGGTTCCCGAAATAAAATAAAAAATGTCCCAAAATATTAGCCCATGTCGTTTTCTCCAGAAGTTTGACATAGTGATAAACAAGTATTTATTGGCATTTTTTAAAAACAATATACCTTCATTACAAGAAAAACATTACTCGGGCTTAACACTGTTTACAATATTATCCCTATCAATTTATTTGTCAAATCTCTATAAACTTGCAATGACATATTCTCCATTTGTTATCCTGATTTAGAGTTCTCGTAATACTACGCTTGCCAAACTAATCTGGGCTATCTGAATGGGGGGGGGGGGGAGTAACGCGTGCACGTTAGATCATCAGGTCTGTCATTGAGTCATGTGGTTTGGATCCGATTCCCTACGATTTTTCCAATTAACTTACTACTGATTTGTCATTATATTACATTACATAAAATGTTATAAAATCTGAAAAGACACAATCAACTTAAAAACGTAAAAAGTATATATCAAGCTTCAAAGAGCTAGAAAAAAATTATTTGGCTGGGCCCGCTCGGGGTTCTCTCTTTTCTTGTATCTCTTTGCCGGGAATGTCGGAAACTGTTTAAACGTTACATGTAACAAATTGCACTTTTTAGTCCACTAGCCGTGGGTTTTTTCTCGGAAAAATCGTAAGAATACGGTCAAAATTTTGGTAACGCGCTTCGCTCAGCAACAGCCTCGTTTGCACCCCCTCCTTCAAATTGCCGGTATACGCCCCTGGTTAGTACAGACAGCGTGAAGTTGAATCGTTTTTCGTTATTCACCAATAACGATTAACGAATAACGAGGTGACTCGCCTCGTTATTGGCGAATAACGAGGGACATTCGTTATTCAGCTTGTTATTCGGGATTCAAATATGAAGCCAGTCATCACTAGAATAATGGATGCCAAGTATTCCCCAGTATCATAAAAAATAACAGAAAAACGAATAGCGAGCTGTTTGTTATTCGTTGACACCTCGTTATTTGGGATTCACATAATTATGAAGGTTTTCAGGTATCTTTAATGGGGATATTTCAGGAATTAATTAAAAACGATAACTATTGGCGAATAACGAGGGAGACGCTGCCTCGTTATTCGTTATTTAACTTGTTATTCGGGATTCAAATATAAAGCTAGAATGATGGATGCCAAGTATGCCCCCAGTAGCATTAAACACAATCCGAAAAACAGTCCAAATAAGCGATTAACGAGCTTTTTGTTATTCGTTTTTGACCTCGTTATTCGAAATTCAAATATGAAGAGGTGTTCAGGTATCTTTAATGAGGATATTTTAGGATTTAATTAAAAACGATAACAAGACAACAATAGAATAATGGATTGCAAAGTATCCCCTAGCAGCATAAAACTGGTTAATACAACTATTCGTTAGTCACCGCTTGAATAACAATCTGTTTTGTTTATCGACAAATTTATTATGCTATTGTTGTCTAGTTACCGTTTATAGTTAAATCCTGAAATATCCCCAATAAAGAAACATGATCACATTCATATGTGAATCCCGAATAACGAGGTGAAAAACTAATAACAAACAGCCCGCTATTCGCTGCTGAATACAGGGTTGTGTTTCGGGACTCTGTCAGTTGATGTTGGTAATGAATGTTCTGTCCTGTGTCTTTATTAGTTCGGGTTTTAAATTAGTGAGTTTATAGTTTTGGTTTTAAGCTAACATATACTCTTCAAAAAAAGTAGGGGATATTGAAATGCAAATACCTATGCAGGTTGTGATATGATAAATAGTCATGGACACTTGACATGCTTTGAGAGTATGTTCACAGATGAAGAACTTATCGCCCCAACAGAACCACTGAGCTGCACGTGCAACACGCAATAGCGCCATACACGTGGGAGGGGTTCATTCTCAAATTTGACACTTCAAGGAAGGGTTGGTGAAAACTGCCGCGTGTTGGTTCATCCTATCCATGTTTGCTTTCCTATCGGTTCTTGCATAAGATTTACTGTTTAGCGTATCTTTGCTTTAGTGTGTTACGTGTAATTTGCAATGAGACGTCTTCAACATGGTGAACGTCTACGTGCTATTGGCATGCTTCAAATCGGTTCTATACAGCGAGCAGTAGCCAATATGCTTAATGTGTGGGGAGGAATCACCATGACTGGCAGAACGGACTTGGATATTGTTCAAGGAAGGGTCACTGGTGTGTACTACCGTGACCACATCCTGGCACCGACAGTTCTGCCCTTTGCTCAACGTGCAGGTCGACGTTTCATCTTTCAAGATAAAAATGCCCGTGCCCACCGCGCTCGTGTCGTGAATGACTACCTCCAGCGTCACCATATTGTCCATATGCCTTGGCCAGCCACGAGTCCTGACCTTTCCCCTATAGAGCATGCCTGCATGATCGGGAGACGTGTTAGTGGACTTCAACTTCAACCGACAACACTGCAAGAATTGGCCGTGGCACTGCAAGAGGAGTGGGTCAGATTGCCCCAAATCGGGATTGGACGATTGATTAGGAGCATGCCACGACGAATTGCGGAATGTCTGAGGATTGGTGGGGCAATTACTCCTTATTAAGACAAAAATCAAAAACATTCATTTTAACTTTTGACAGTGTATCTCTTTGCGCGTGAAATGGGGCCGTCAAATAAGCCTCCCATATGAACTGCTTATGTTCATGTGTAGGCAATTGGCCTGTTATTAACATACACTGGTTACCTCTAATAAAAACAGCAGTGCATTTCCGCAGTTTTGTGTTGTTTCTGAATATCCCCTACTTTTTTGAAGAATATAAATTAGTATAAATGTGTGTGTGTGTGTGTGAAATATCTTTATTTAACGTCCGCTTCCACCGAGGTGAAATAGCAGACAAATGTTTTGGGTGGTGGATTTTATATTGTATGTTTCTGGAATTGTATTGTTGTGTTTTATCGGGTTAGTTCTTAATATTTCTGGTATAGTTGAAAGAATAACCCGTTGGAATCTTTCAGTTCTGAAGGTGGTCTCTTTCTGAAGAGGTTGTTTATCACGTAATCTGTGATCTGTGATTCTTTGTCTTGATTGGTTATTCATAAGTGTAGCTGGAATAAAACTAAATTACAAGCATGCATCTTTACCACATGTTACAGATTTTCAGCAAGATCACACATCGGCTCTTTTCCACAAACGGGTAAGCTAATTATTTTATAAACATTTCCTTTACTGTTTTGATTAGGTGTATTTGAAAGTGAAGTATGAGAATAGTCTCATGTGTGTTTGAAATATGATTATTTACGTAAATATGTGATACAGTAATGTAAAATTGTAAGTCGTATAGCCAATAGAAATATTGATAGGGTTGGATATATATGAACCTTTTCCCATGACTTGTAGTTTCTATGGTCATTTTGGACGTTAAACACGAATCCGTCGGAATTTTTGACCTAGGATGACTTTTGACCCTGGAAAATTCAATTTATTCAAAATGGCGGCCACATTTCATGTTGTTTTCATGTTTTTGATCAAATATATCATACACATACCGTCAAATACCTTTATATATAGATTTTTGACTTAGGGAAGAACGAAAAACAACATTTCAGAACAGGTGTGAGGCATCTGAGCCTTCAAACTATCAAAAACTACCAAAATCTCATTTTGTAGCAAAATTTGACATTTTTTGAAAACAATACTTTTCAGATTTAAACGTTTGACATAGTAAACACATTTTCACACAACAGTTCAGTTTAATCACCAAATACTCCTCCCAGAAGTTGATCAATATCAGTAGCAATGTCACTTTCTGGCCTTAAAGTGTTCTTTATAGACTTCCGTAATCCTACCAAGCAGAATTTCTCCATTTTGAAACGACCTGTTTCGCGGTCTTTCACACATACCAGGTGCAATTGTAAGCCTCAGGTAGGCGATTTCCTGTAGCAATTCATTTTCAGATAGACTTCTCAAGAAATTGAAGACTGTTAGCTGTTTGCACTGACCAATGGTTTTAAGTAATCGTGGTTTTTTTTCCTCCTTCAATTGCGCCTTTTTCGCTAAGTCTAACATTTTAGACAATTTCAGAGTAGTCATAAAGTCCTTCTCTAGTTTTGTTGCTGCCACTGTATCGTCTGACTTACTGGCCAGGCCCACTTCCATCTCTCTTGCTGCTCTTAAAGTGGCAAGAGAGATGGAAGTGGGCCCGTAAGTCAGACGCTACAGTGGCAGCAAGAAAGATGGAAGTGGGCCCGTAAGTCAGACGCTACAGTGACAGCAGAAAACTGAAGGACTTTATGGCTACTCTGAAATTGTCTAAAAAGTTAGCTTTAGCGGAAGAAGCGGAATTCAAGGAGAAAAGAACACATGATTACCTAAAACCATTGATCAGTGCAAAGAGCATGGCGGACCACTAACAGCTGAGGCTACCCGAGGCTTACAATTGCACCTGATATTAGACAACAGCGACGTTTGAAAGACCGCGAAACGGGTCGTTTCAAAATGGAGAAATTCTGCTTGGTAGAATTGCGGAACTCTATAAAGAACGCCTTAAGGCCAGAAAGTGACATCGCTACTTACATTGATCAACTTCTGGGAGCACTATTTGGAGATATAAACTGAACTCTTGTGTGAAAATGTGTTTA